TTTGTATGGAAACAAGCAATAACAACAGGCACTCCACCTTCTGCCCGCGATAGCCATACTTGCTCATCTTGGAGGGATAAAATCATTGTGATTGGTGGTGAAGATGGGCATGATTATTATTTGTCAGATGTCCACATCCTAGATACAGGTTCTGCTCATTATCATACACATAAATATATATCCGCTCACATTCACAAACAATGTGCATTTGTGTGTGTGTGTGTGTGTGAAGGTAAATTTTATGTATTTGCTTTCAAACATGTGCACATGATTAATTTCAATTATAATTTGAAATTGTATTTTTGTGCAAGGATGTGTTACCTACCCTTTAGCTTTCTTGTATTTTGTTAGAAACTCTTGTTTGGGAGGAGCTGAACACATCGGGCCAAAAGTTGCCACCTCGAGCTGGCCATTCTACTGTTTCTTTTGGCAAGAATTTATTTGTTTTTGGTGGATTTACAGATGCTCAAAATCTATATGATGACCTGCATATGCTTAATGTTGGTATGTATCATGCTATTGTTGATAAAGTTTAGTGATGTTGAAAAAATGCACTTCCCTTTCCCTGTAAATCCACCAAATTTTCAACATTTTTCTTGTTTTTCCTGTGGATTTGAAAAATCAAGCGGATTATATCTTCAAGTTCTTGACATAGTTATCATTATTTATTGTTGTAAACATCTACATTTGTTATGGGGGCAGAAACTGGCATTTGGACCATGGTGATGACAACTGGAGATGGACCTTCTGCAAGATTCTCCGTGGCTGGGGACTGCTTGGATCCACTGAAGGGTGGTGTGCTTATGTTCATTGGTGGCTGCAATAAGAGTCTTGAGGCATTGGAAGATATGTATTATTTACACACAGGTATGGTACATTCTCTTATATTTTTCTTGAACTAATGTTTGCATGCTTTTGTGATGCAATTTTGTTATTCTATAAACCCTTGTATCAGTCTAGATCATTATTTTATTTTGGTAATCTCATCCATTTTTTAAAATGTAGGTCTCACAAGAGTGCAAGATGAATGGCGTATGGAAAAGTTATCTCTGAAAAAACAATTGAAACTAAAGTGCCAAGAACAAAATCTTAATTATTCTGTGCATGAAAAAGTTTTAGTCCAAATTGACACAAATGCTGACTTTCACCACACCTTTCTGAGTTATACCCAACCAGGTAAAAAGTAGATTCTCTGTTTTTATATTATTTATCACAGTTTCCTTTCATGAAATTAATCTGGTAGTTCTTCATATCTGAACCAGACAGAATTGGAGGTCTCATGCAATCACTAAAAAATGACTTTAGAGTGCCTTGGTAGTGTTACACGTTTGACAATTATTTCACAGTTTTTATCAGTTTCAATGAGTTTTTGTATGAGTTATTTACATGGTGCAAAATATAGAACTTAACATGACTAGATGCATCTAGCTTTTTATTTGAATGCTCATCTAATAAATCTTTCAGTGGCCTTTTTTATTTTGGAAAATGGTGAATTCTCTATCGGAAATTGGTGGTCTTTTAGCATTATCTGTGCACTTGGAAAATCTTCTATGGTATTCCTTGTAATGCAATATCTTAATGTCCCTATAAGTTCAGTGTCTGCTCTTTGTTGGGAAAGAGAGTGCAATTTCTTTTATCTGCTATTTACTTCTTGCATAATGGTCTAAAGCTTCATTGAGGATTTATTGACCATGAAAATAGATTATATGATTTCTTTTCTTTTCATTTGAAATATGGAGTGGGAGTGAGTTCAAAAGCACAATTGGGGATGTTGTGATTCTGTTTCTTATGTAAAAGTGGACAAGGATGAATTTAAAATTGTCCTCCTGAAGGAAATGCAATTTATGAAATATGCTCTGACCAATTTGGAGATGGAGCTGGAGGAAGGACTCCTAATGATATTCTAGTTCTAATGGAAAATGCATCTTTATGCTATTTAAACAGAGGAAAAAAATGTGGAAAAACTTTTTTAGATCTTGTGGCTCCTGGAATTTCTTTTTCTTTGTTAAGATGCAGCCAATGGGATTGAAATAAATCTTTGGTTCACTTCCTTTTGTCTTTCTTTTCCAGTCATCTTAACCATTTTTTGTATCCATTACCCAATATTTAAGCATGTCCAGATAGTCAGAGATTGCTGTTCTGTAAGAAGATGGGGGACCTTTTTCTTATCGTTATGTAGTAAGCATATATGACTGGCTAAAATTTAAGCACTTTAGAGGGGGCTACAATGCTACAAGATTCATGGTATTGATAGTGAAGAGTTTGATGAATCAGTTCTAATTCCTTTGTCCTTGGAGGCCAGGACAATTTCCAAGTGGCAGCGCTCACCTTGTGGCCAAAATGAGAGTGAAGGAGCTTATTTGTTATGATTTGAAAACTAGTTGAGATATATCCACCCTCCACCTCATATTTGAAGGTTTTGCGTTGTGCAGATAAAGAATGTTTACTGTTGCCTTGCTGGTTTTTCAAAAAATATGGTTGCTATCTTTCTTACCAAGAAGGTTAAGGGCATGTAATTTGTGGGGTTGGACTGTGCTAAAATTCTAAGGCATTTGAAGGCAGGATTATGTAATATGCATATATGGCTTGCTAGAATTTAAGCACTTTAGAGGGGCCTACATTGCTACAAGATTCATGGTTATTGATAGTGAAGAGTTTGATGCAAGTAAAATCAGTTCTAATTCGTTTTTCCATGGAGGCCAGAACAATTTCCAAGTGGCAGCACTTACCTCCTATGGCGAAAATGAGAGTGAAGGTTATTTGTCTTGATTTAAAAACTAGTTGAGATATATCCACCCTCCACCTTGTATTTGAAGGTTTTGTGTTGTGAATAAAGAATGTTTACTGTTGCCTGGCTGGTTTTTCAAAAAAATATGTTGGCTATCTTTCTTACCAAGAAGGTTAAGGGCATGTAATTGATGGGGTTGAACTGTTCTACAATTCTAAGGCATTTGAAGGCAGGATTTTTTTCATAATAAGCTAGTGGAATTTTCGGATGGTCACCAAGCATATATGATCCCTGAGTTTGAAATGTTGTTATGTTTTCTGGGATCAGATGGTCTATATGTCATCAAGAAAACAATCAAGAGTTAGTTACATGATTTGGTTGAAATCTCTTTTCTCAGATTGGAGTCTTTTGGCATCAACAAAAATGTTCAGATTGCAGTGACAGGACTTAAGTTGAAATCTTGGTTGAAATTTGTTTGGGATTTGTGCACTAGATGTAGAACTGGAATGAATTTTAGTTCGCATGAAATGTTAGGGGAAGGGTGAGAAATTTATACAGTAATTGCCATGGTTACCAAACATATAAGAATAATCCACCCAAGATTGCATTATTATATTCTGGAAAAAAGCCTGGGAATCTTTTCCAAATCTCAAAAAGTTCTAGATAGTGGTTTTTGGAATGACCACTCAACTTCCTAACAGTGGCAAAAGGAATTTTATGCCATGAAATTTGATTCCAAGCTCAAACATTTCTATTTCTGCATATTTCCCTCTTTTGCACTTTGCTATTTAGTTTACTGATGATCTGTACACTGATGCTTTTTGAATCCTACTGTTTGTGATTTAACTTCTTTAAGCATGCAAGTTAAGTAGGTTTCAAACAATACCTGTTACCAATTCTTTTATATTAGCGTGACAATTTATTGTTGTAATCATGTTTTATCTGCTGGAAACTAAGAGACTCTAATTATGTATTACCATGATGGTAATATGGTAAGACTAGCAATTTGGGCAGTTTCATGTGAGTTGATACCTAACAAAATTTGTGCTTTATTTGCAGGCAGAGAAAATTTCCCATTGAATCAAACACAGCATGATCATGGGAAGAAGACATTTCAAGCCAAAGTTACTGAAAGCCTTCCTCATGGATATACCATTGAGACTATTGTGGATGGAAAGCTTCTACGTGGAATATTATTTTCCAACAAGCGAAGTTCTCCCCAGATAGTTAGCCACAATAACCGCAGGTGAGAACATGGTATTTTTTGCTAATGCTTAATTGGCAGTTGTTGCTATAACTGCATTTCCCATGAAACTCGTGTTTATTTTTGCTACACGCCATATCAGGAAGAGGGCAAGTGCTGAAAGTGGTGTTGTATTGAATGGTGGGTACAACAGCAAATCAAAAACTTCTAAAACCCTCAACCAGGATGCAGTAGAAAACATTAAGCCAGACAACGCTCATGGGATGGAATCCACAGCACAGGAACCCAAGATGGAAGCTGCTGCTGTCCCTGATTTGAAAAATCTGGCTCCCTATAATGTTTATCTGTCTCATGAGGTTTAAATCTATTTGCCTTTTTTCTTCATTCAATATCTCCTGCATGTTTTATTAAGTACTCTTAGTTTTGTTCTTTTTAGGCTAAATGCCTGCTTCAAATGCTTGTGTTGGAGAAACTGTGAATGGAGTTCATCTGAATGAACCAAGGCAATGTTCTGTAAATTAAAAAAAGAAGTAATATTATATTATAATATATAAATATAAAATATATATCTTTTCGATTAAGATTAGATCTTCAGAAAATCAAAAGAAAATATAAAATACCATAACAGTCATATAAAGTTATATTTTTCACCCTTAAAAATAAAATAATTTAAAGTAGTAAGTAGCCAAATAGATTAAAAAGCAAAATTAATTAAAAAATGGATAAATATGTCAAAATATAAATTAGTTTGTTTTTTAAAAAAAGTAAAAATACAACATATAGAAAACTTCAAGCAGGCACTAGCCTTGATGCCTTGCACCCACTCACAAGGTGCTCGCCTAGGCAGTGCTTCACTGAAATCCAATGCTTGTGGCAAATAAAGGTGCTAGGGCTGACCTTGCCTCACTGGAATCACCTAGGCAAGCGCCTCTTGACAAATGATGGCCGCAGATTACAGATCATGAACTAATAGGTGTTACAAAACAATGTGGCTATTGTTCTTAAAAAAAACAGTGAAGTGTGAAAACATGAACTTGAAATCGTAACCGTTATTGTTGTGAACATGTTGACGGCACCACAAAACTGAACAACGGTCAGAATCCTCTGATCCCATTAAAGATGGCCATCATTTAAAACGAAGATCATATGCATTGCAGTAGCCAGCTGTTTTTGCTAAGCATCATGGTATGTCTGGTTCAATCATGCATCTCCTTGTGCTCTAGGAGCTTATGAGAGCTTTTGCTCATATACCAATTTTTATCATGACTTGCATCTTCATGGAATTAATTTAATTGTCTAGAGTATAACCTATTCTTCAGGTTAATGGGTCTAATGTGAATTGACCTATCAATGATTTTCTCTTTTTGATTCCTTCAGGTTCCTCCAATTGCAGAACCATCAGCAACTCCTCTGAATTTGAATGATGATATGCCCTCTGACACAGGATTTCTAAAAGAGAAGTCTACTGCAGCAGAGGGCCTGCCACTTTGTCACTAAACCAAGGTATGAATCTAGGAAGGATTTAGTATTTGGCCAATTACGGTTGGCAAAACTCAACCCATCCTTAGTTTGTCACATGATAATTCTAGACTGGGTTACATTTAGAAAATCAGAAACCATTTGTTAGTGAGTTGGCTTTAGGGTTTATGGGTTGGCACTGTCAGGTTATAATTATTTCTGACCTGTACTGCTGCTGATATATGATAAAAGATAAAACCTCATTCAAATTTGAGGTATCTTATCGTGGGTGACTATTTATGCGACTTCTGAAACCAAGATGAATATCTTATTTTGTACTCAAATCTGATGGAGTGGGTTTGAATCTCACATTATATAAGCCATTACTAGCGCTTTTCTGACCATTGCCAATTTTTGCTTTAAGATAGGAAGCTATGGTTTGCGTAAATATGAGTTATTATAAAAATTTTATTTTATGAAAAAAAAAGGAAAAGAAAAGAAAAAAACTTGTGATTTAACTCACTATCTTCAGCTTGTTTGTTGTATTAGGGGTCTACAAAAATGTTATGTTGCATCAGGGTTTAGGGTTTAGGGATTGGTTTGAGTGTTGGATTAGGGTTTCACCGACCATCAAGATGAATGAATTAGTTGATTCAGACCTTGTTGAAAAAAGCATTGCCTCCATGTTAATCCCAATGTATTGCTACCTTATGTCTGCACACGTGTTATTTTTTGTTTTGAATTGCATTTCAAATCACCCGCTTGATGAAATGCCCATGCTATATTGATAGTGGCTTCCAAATTCAATACTGTATGATTCTGATGTGATCAATGCCTCATATACACAAGAGAAAGGGCTATTAGAGATGTATTTGTAACTTCATTATTCAAATTAATTAATAATTAATAGAATAGTTAGTTTATAATTAGTGTCATGATATTTAAGACTATTTTCAGACAACATTGTAAGTTGTACAGATAAATTGAAAATAGTCCTGGCTCTTGCATTGCGTCAAGAGATTTCTGTGCTTGTCCAACCAATGTCAAATCTGTGACCATAGTTATGAGGCCCGTATTTTAAAAGTTGTTTGGGACGGCGAGTCCGGCTGGAGAAAAGCTATGTTGTCACAACAGAGGGCCAGGATCCAATAGTCAGAGGGATGCTCTTGACTCATATCCAATCATTGGTTCCAAAATCAAAATTCTATGGTGTAATAATATCCTGTCTGTTTGAAAACTCTCTTATTTGAAGAAATTGCTATGAAAACTCTTTTTTTTTTCGAATATGGGTAAAACTCCAGATTTACGCTGCATGTGGAATAAGATTGTTCATAATTGGATGGATCACCTCACCCTTGTAGAAGTCTTATCATGTGCTTTGTCATGATTTTCACAAGAACTAACTGCTGTTGATACATGGCCGGTAACCAACTGCTGAGGTATAATTGGTCCGGAGAAATCGATTTGATTGATGGATAGTTGACCTTTTGGAATGACTAGGTACAAACCACCTGTCTGTGTACATTATGACTTGAAGGTGGTCATAGATGCATTTGATTGGTGATATGTAGAATCTGCACGTAATCTACCGCCCATTTGTTCATACCTTTCTTGAATACAGACCACCCTTTTTTTAAAAAAAAAAATCCTGATTGACTATACTCCTTATGGTCCCATTTATGTTACATGCAGTTTTGTTTATTATCGGAAATATCTTGAATACTTGATCAATCTTCGTACAATTATGGGAAAAGAGTTGCTTATCAAGTTGGTGACTAATGGGTGTCTTTTCATCCTTGGGGCAAAGGCTCGGTAAAGCAAAACACATTCAGCATATTTCATTTCTATGAGATGTTTGACTTCTCTTTTCATTCCTTTTAATGTTTTCAAGTGACTTTTTGTACGAAGATGCTGCTATTTATAGGCTCAAAGAATGTGTTATCTTCGGCTCTGGGAAAGTTTGGTATCTTGTTTGGCTTGGTGGAATTGTTTCTTGAAAGAAGCTAAGCTGTTACACATTTCTTTGATGGTGTTAGCTGGGAGATTAAAATTCACGAAAGAAGATAATAATGAAAAAAAATAAAAAGGCAAAGAAAAAAATGTGGTCAGACCAGAAAGTTGTAACAAACTTGTCCTAGCTTGGTTGGTCAACGCTCAATGACCTGTTCATCTAGGGATTGTCTAGCTTTAGAAATAGTGTGAAAAGGTGTGGAATGTAATAGTTAATGCATTTGCCAATTGTTATACAAATCTAAATCAAATACTATTTAGATCTACACTAGCTAGTTGGCTTGTGTTATGTTGCCGTTGAGAGCAAAATATTTTAAAGCAGAAAAATACAAATTGTCAATGTATTTTCTAGGATGGAGAAAATTTTTAACCATAAATTGAAAATCTAATGTATGTTCAATGAAAAAAAATTGAGAATCACGTTTTAATAAAAATTATTTATGCTGACTAAAGTCTAGGTTAGGGAATTAAAAGATAAATATTTATTAAAATATATGATCTTGTATTATAATAAGTCCTAAGAATCATCAAATAAACACCACATGATCCATTAACTTATTATAATATTATGAGCTAGGAAGATTAAAAAAGTATTTCATGATTCAAGATATTTGAGCTTTATTTCTAGAGCTTTATTTCTAGAATCAACTAGTTTTTCTACTTATATGCAAATTAGGTATATTTTCTAATTTGTAGTTTTATACTAATGGATTTAATTTTCAATCTAGCTATTGGATTAAATTGAAATGTTGCTAAAAAATTCTAAAGGACTTGTTTTTTATAAGAATAAACTATCATAGCGTTCAATCATTGAAAATGTTTTACAATAAAGCTTAGAAGTTACTATATGAAATATGTAATATTTTTCTAATTGATTTAGGATTTATTTATTTATTTTATTACTTCATTGTTATTTTTAAAGGCTTGTTTAAGAAATTTTACATAGGGATATTTAACTTGTATTTATAGAATAAATTGATTATTCAACAATAAAACTTGTACATGAGAGTTTGTTTTTACTCTTAGTTATTTAAATAACTTTCATAACTTATCAAAGACTAGTATTTTATGGCGTTCATCCTCGTACATTTGGTTCTCTCCTACATTTGGTTCTTGATTTGTTATAATCAAGGGATCAAGGTTCTCAATCTTATACTTTCAATTCTTGTTTTGTTATAATTAATGAGTTGGAGTTTTTATCCAATAACTTTCTTTCATTTAGGTAATCATTGATCAATTTTTTTCCAACTTAATTTTAGTTTCTTGGGTTGTGTTTAATCTTGATTATAGATTCTAAATTTCTTACTATTTAGGTTTGTATCAATAAGTTTTTTAGATTTTTTAATTTAATAGTATGGAAATAATTTTTTTTATGAATAGTAATAAGTTAAATTTTATTGAAACAAAATAACGTGCTAATATGATTCCTCATGTTATTATTTTTTCCACCAAAAATATCATTATTTTTCTATGTTTTTATTTAATAAAAATCAAAAGTAATAAGAACAAAACCCTTAATTTAATTGCTTTACTCTCGGACATCCAAATAGTGTGTTTTTCCCTTATTATCTTGTTTGTAGATGTGTCTGCTAGCTAGTGAAGTAGAGTTTTTATCTATAATTGTTTTTTACCATTCTCAAGATTTCCCACGCTAGTTAGTCCGGTAAACCATCCATTGAAACTAATATTATGATAACTTTGATGCTAATATATTAAAAAAAAAAGAGAACAATATGTTGGATGATTAGTATTTAAAAGTGCATTTTTATCATGGTTTTATATAATCATTTTGCACTTGAAGTATCAATAACTCCTTAACTAAAGCATGTTTTATAATAATATATCTAATAATATAAGATACCTATAATTTGTGGTAAATGTATATTTTTAATGCAGGTCTATCACATAAATGAAAGGATTGATTGATGACTTGAAGAACTTAAATTGCATGGATAAAGAGATGGTCAAACTTAGAAAAGAGATGTCGGTGCAATCCAAACCGGAACACTGTTCGGTAATTGGGTCATATCTAGAGCTATATATCTCAGATTTAGGTCCAATTTATATGGATGGAAAGGTAAGACATAGGCCTACAACTTTCATATGGAGCCCAAGATCTAAAAAGGCCATTATCAAGTCCAAATAGTAGCAACAACAAAGAAGCCCGAATCTGTCTTCCAGCCCGAGCACTGTTCGGTATTTTGGCCATATCTGGAGTTCTAGAAGTCCAAATGAGCTGAATGTTTTACACAAGAAAGCTGAGACAATTGCCTACAACTTTCATGTTTGCAACTGGCTCCAATTTTGACGTTATCAATGACGTTTTGGGCAGACAAGAGAAGATAAGGATTGTCACCAAGTCAAAAGTTGGTCACCCACTTATCAATTAGTCATCAAATCAATAGTTCCCATTTTTGGCCTATAAAAGGAGGCATTTGCCATGCATTTAGGCATCTTGATTTCCAGATCAAGATCATGCTCTTCCTTTCTCTCTTTGTATTTTTTATGCTTTGTTTTCATTAATATTAAGTTTATGCCTTTCATTTCCTTTCCTTTACTTAGTTAACTTTTATGTTCTTATTTTGTTTATCTATTTTGCTTTCTTTCATTATGTCTAGCTAAGTTAATTATGTCAAGGTGAAAAGGTTACACTAATGGTGTAAGAATAAGTATAATGTAAACTTAATATGGACTTTAATGTTTGATACTAACATGTTTTATATTTGCTATCTTGTTCACTCTTTAATACTTTGCTTGTTAAATGACTAATCTTGATTGTTGTATTATTGTTATTTTTAATTTGTACAAATAACCTCCCTGTGGTTCGACCCCGGTCTTGCCGGGTTATTTATTACTTCGACACTCCTGCATTTGGGAAAAGACATCAATCTTTTAGTCGTGTCATTGGATTTCTCGAAACATGTATGCATAATGGAAACAATAAATTTAATTTCTTTTGGGAGTCTTAAGAATCTTGTTAGGTAGATCTAGAGTCATTTAGAGTTTATATAAAAATTATCTTAAGATAAGATGTTTTTTTTTGCTTTAAATAATTGCTTCAAGATTGGGTTGTTGTAAACCATAAGCTGTTCAAATATTCAGCCACAAATGATAATCCACACAAAGAACTAATAATAAATCTCCTAAACCTTTTTAAGAGTTGAAAATTATTATATCTTTTAGTACCAGATTTTTTCTGTATTTTTTAGTTGTTTTGTACTATTATTTATTATTTTGAAAATAAAAGTGACGTGGATTAGCCCATGAATACCAATGACTTATTACACGTTCCAAATAAACCCATCATAAGGTCTAAAGCGAGGAATTGAAAGAAATATTGAATGAGTTGGTTGTGCAAGTTTTGACTAAGGTTAAACTTGGGGATTCTTTGGAG